GATTTTTTTTTTTTTTTTTTTTACAGTTTGGCAGGCACACAAGCACACGCGCGCGCGCATTCATTTGTATGCAGGCATGTATGTTATATTACATATGGAAAGTTGCATTTAAAAAAAAAAAGCGAGAAATACATAGCGTCCAATACCATTTATATACATATAAATATATACGTTACGTACCGAACTTTAATTTTTATGTATATCAGTATACCTATACGAGTTGAGTGAGTGAACGTGAATAACTTGCGTATGTATAAATTGCACACAAATGCACGTGTACACGTATGTATACTTGTGTATGCACACGTGCGGATGTTGCAATGCGAAATTGATTAAATAAATGATTTATTACATCAATGATGGCTTGAGACTTTTCAGATCGGAGCCGAAAGAATATGATATTAGTAATTTAAGCAGCTTTGACAATCGAGCGGAAATAAACCGAATTAAAAAGTTTTTTTTTCCATTAATATCATAAGATAACGAAGATTGATAGAAAACGAAATGTTTTTCGCGATCTCGATTCTCAAGGATTACACACTGATATTTTTTTAATGAACTTCCGGAAAGATGAATTGTAGATGAAAGGTGTATTTATTAGTCAAGAAAATGAAATTGATATTTATTGTTGAATATTAAAAATTTTTAAGACTTGTTTGATAAAATAATTTATAATATTATAGAGAGTTTATAAATAAAAAAAAATTTTATGAAAAATACACATACACGTTGCGCACACAATAAATTATTTATTAGGCAATAGATTTTGTATTAAGATCGTTAGTAACTTTTCGATGGATGCGATTAAAAAAAAAAAACTTAGATTTTTGTCTAAATGGTCGTTTCGTTTTGTTAAACTAAAATATTAGATGATAGAGAATAAATGCATAATAAGAAAAATTACAGAAATATAATAATAAATCGATGCCTAGCTTCGGTGCTTAGTTACCAAGCCTCGAGCAAAGTAATGTATTTTACTTCATAAATGGATGAAATAATGAGATGAATAAAAAAAAATATTTTATTATACCCCATCCAAACTTGTAAAAAGACATGCATGCCATCGAGACGCGAAAATTTATGAAAATAATGTGAATATAGAAGTTTAATTTTTTCATATTTTTATATTNAAAAAAAAAAAAAAAAAAAAAAAAAAAAAAAAAAAACAAATAAAAATAAAAATAAAAAAAAACAGTACCCGTGCGCAGTGTTTATAAATACATAGTGAACCGAGATATAGAGGGAGGAAGTGCATACACAGTGAATTTTGTTCGACAGGTGTGTTTGTTGTTGTCGATAGAAAGAGAGAGAGGGAAGGGAGGAAAAAAAACGAGGATCAAAAAAGAGCTCGAAGGAGGAGGAGGAGGAGGAGGAAAAGAGATTTTGCCTTTCACCGTCGTACAGTTGGTCGGTCCCCGGATGCTAAGTGCTATACTACCATTACGACTAATACCACACTGCACGCCAAACCGATCTATATCTCAAGTCTGACACAACATAAAATGTACCAGTGTGTGTGTGTATTTGTGTGTACTGAATCTGGAACACGCGAATGGATCCGCGAGGACGACGACGGCGACTGTGGTGTCGGATGATGAAGGAGGGGGACAAGACAATGAAAAATAAAAGTATAAGCAAAGGAGACACACAAGTTTGTTTAGCGAATTTCGGAGGGGCAAAACTGTGATACGAAACCTCGTGTTGTTTTTCGGATGAGTTGGCCGATCGTTCGGCATTTATATATTTTTTTTTTTTCCTCGTATACGTACGCAAATATAATAGGTATATGCACCTGATTGGTTTGCATTTTTGTAAGTCACCTTTATTGTACCTCGATTTTGGTACGAGGAATAAAAAAATACACAGATAAAACTAAAGCTCAAACACCCGAAACAGTCGATTACGCGCTTCTGGACAGAGTAACTTAATTGGCGCTTGATAGGAAAACTCATTAATTTTGAATTAAAGTTTATAAAAAATAAAAAAAACCCGTTCGTCAATAATATAAGGCTAGCCTCGTTGAAGGAGGCTATTGCCAGAGGGAGTATATTACTTACGATTAAACATTCAGGGGAACACTTTTATTATCGCCATTTCGGTATGAAGAAATGACCCAGTGAATTTTGAAAGCACATAATCGCCTGCAGCACATCAAAATGACACTTCATTTGACTCTTGAAATTTGTCCGCGTGAAATTTGCACTTGAACTTTAATATCACGCCCCGATGGCCTTTCGTTGCGGCGGCAGAACATATATGTATTTATGATCATGCACGTATCCATACACGATTAGTGCTCCAAGCTTATCGAGACGTCGACGTCGACGTGTGAATTTCTGCGATGCTGATTTTTCTTTCTTTCTGTACGGGTATGGGTATATGCGCGAGAAAAGATGAATGGCAGGACGTATTATAGAGCAGTAGCACCGGTTTCTCGGTATTCCTGTAAGCCGTCAAAATTTATGCACCTCGCGGATATGGAGCGCGAAAATAGCCCGTCGCCCGATAGGTACTCTCTCT